CTCACAGTGCTTTGCAGAACAATATTTCTTGATTGATGCTTTGATGGTCTGTCAACATTTTTTTTTTTCCTCTCTCCTTCCCTCCCTCCCTTCTTTCCTTTCTTCTTCTCTCTTTTATTTATTTATTTCAATAATTTTCTTGAGCTATCCTTCTGAGTTAGAACATACCTTTCCCTGTCTCCTCATCTGTTATGGACCAGGTGCTCTTACACTGAAGATCCTCAATATTATTAATGCATTGTCTCCTCTGAGAGCATTACAGACAGACCCTTTGGTATATATTCTCCACAAATGCAGGGTAAGATCACTCCTCCAATGAGTAGTATGCTATTTTTGCTTGTGTTGACTTTTTAGCTTTAGTTGTTGTATGGTGTGGGATACGTCCTTTTACTTTGGAATCATGGATTTCTCTTTTCTTTCTTTATTGGATATTTTCCGAGATACTTAGGACTTTGTAGAAATGAAAATAGAAATAACTCCTTTTCTTCACAGCCTGAATGTCTAATAGTATAGCAGAAACAAAGCTTGGCTAGAAACTTAGCCTTGGATTTTATGCTGAAAGAATGTGAAATAGCAGAAAATGCATGAATTTAGGAATTAGAATTTAGAATTCTCACTCTGTCACTGACCATCTGTGACTTTGGGCAAATTACTTAATATATTTGAGCCAAATTCCATTCATATAACATGGTTCTGAGGATTAAACTAACCAAGGTAAAGAGTTTAGCCCATTGTAAGAACACAGCAAAAAGAAGCTGAAACTTTGAGCTCCTATAGAATCATTCTGCATTCTGTTCTTCTCAGAAGCTTGCTTTTAGCCATTCCATAGCTCATTCTCACTCATTCCTCTTGGAAGGAAGCAAGTGCAACTTTGCCATGTGAGTCTAATACATGCATCTACAACACTCCATTTTAGTAGATCATAAATTTACTGCTGAAATGGTTTAGGGCATAATCTGGTATTCTTAGCCCATAATTATGATGGGTTCAAAATCTCACCTATAATCAATTTCTAATGATAATCATTAAATATCCTAACATAGTCTTTCTCTTTGGAGAAAAAGTTTAACACTAAAATCTTCACAAGTTAAAATTTATTCATTTAAAATGTGTTCTAAATAGAACCCATCTTGGCCTTTCTCTAAATAATCTAAAGGTTGTTGCCCACTTCCAGAAAATTGCAGCAATACCGGATATAACTCCCATTGCAAGTTAGCACAGGTTGTAGACAAGCCTAATGGTTAAAAAGGAAGCTATTTGAAGACAACAGAGAAATGAGCTTCAGATTTAAATTGGCAGAACTATTTATTAAAATAGTGATTTACAAGATTTTTCAAATGCCACTGTAATTTGTAGATCCCATCTGAGAACTCAAACAATCCAATGAGCATTCTTTAGGACAGCCCTGGCTTGTGCTTACTGTTTGGTCATAATTATTAACAGAGCCCCTTTTCACTCTCACAAGTCCTAGTTTGGATGACAAAGTATATGGCATCTCTTGTCTTTTGCAGAAATGCAAAAGCTCTGGTGGTGTAGTACCTAAACCACTTGACTGCTAACCAGAAGGCTGGCAGTTCAAACCCATCAGCCACTCCTTGGAAGGAAGACTAGGCAATATCACTTTGAAAACCCAAGGAGGGGTCACCTTGGAAACCCAAGGAGGGGTTGCTATACTACCTCAGAAATTTGACTTGATGTTACTGAATTTGTTTTTTTTTTTTTTTTTGGTTTTTGCATTTTGCAGAGTAAATTTTATCTCTTTTCAGATATATTCCTTGTATTAATCTAAGGAAAACTAGCTCACTTTTCCTATAGCATTTCCTTTGGCACTTCTTATTGCAGTCATTTAAGCATTTCTTTGGAGTAATAATTAAGAACTCACATAAGCTGATGAATAACTCCCTATGGCTCTCTTATTGGCAAAAGCAAATAAGGTGACTACACAGGGACTCAGCTAATACAGCAGCCCTGGGAGAGAAGTATGGGGGTTTATCCCTTCAAGTTCATATTTATAAAACAGTCTCCAATCATTTGAATTACTTTTTCAATTTAATAAGTTCAAGCAAGTGTAGCAACACTGGACAGCAAGGGATTGGAGACGAAGAAACATGACTCTGTGCCTTCTGAAATTCCATTCCAGGCTTCAATTCTGAGTACTCTGTGCCTTTTACAGACTTGAGTCACCTGCCTTCCTGTTTTCAGGAGAGGGTGTGCTGTGGTTTAGCAATTTGAGGATATGGAGACTGTCGAAACGTCACTGGAGATGTTTTGAGAATTGCTGTAGAAAACAGGTTTCCATGGTTCTGAAAGCAGAAGCCACTTGACAGGACCCCAGGTCTTCTCTCAGAAGAGAAGGAAAGCCAAATCCTTTGGCGGTATTGTTGGGACTGAGCTGAGCATCCTATCCTGCTGGGTAGTCTCGAGGCATCTGGGACAGTTTGGTTATCAGATAGGGGCAGATGTGTCCTTATGAAGCATCACGTTTAGGAGCAGGAGATGGTGAATGGTCTACTTACTTCCCAGTGCCTTTTTCATCCCGACTCTCTGCCCTTGTCTTGAGAGGAAATATGCAGCAGCTGAGGAAAAAGTGGAGCCATGAAACTAGAGCCATGCCATGATGTTTGTTTTGAAATGACCCTTCCCCAGCTTTTCTACCAGATCTCTCTGCCCTCATTCAATAACATTTCTAAAGATAGGGCAACTGGGTTGCAGCACAGAAAATGCCACATCTTGGGTAATGGCACCATTTTAGGGTGACTAGAAGTAACTGGTATATCACTCCAACCAGATGACATCTAGGAAACTCAGAATTCTGGTACTTTAGAATCAAAATGACACTCCAAAAATATTTTTACCCAGATCCCTCATTTTACACAGGGGTCTCTTCAAGGTCAGTGATCTAGATGCTTATACAAAGATATCACTGAACTGCTAAACTGTAGTGTTCCATCAATCACCCTTACTTGAAAAGATTTAAAAATATAAACCACAAGTAATTTCTTCCGACTGTGAAGAATTGTCATAAGACCTAAAAGAATGCTTCTGGAAATAAATTGCACACACTTCCTGCCTAGCCAGGAAGCTTGCTCACCGTGGTTGGCCACTGTCCCTGACGGAGGAATCTCCTGGCTCCATGGGCAGATTAGCTCAGAGCCAATGAAGCTGAAGCTTCAAGACCCCTTGAAAGGCCCTGTACCTAATTTTGTATTTGTAATTTTATATCCTTTTTCTTAAAGAGGACCCTTCAAATTTCATGAGCTTCATGCCCCAGGGAACCCAGATCTAGTCCTACTTGTTCCTTATGAATCTAGTCATCTAGTGCTCCAATATGCTTCTGATCAGAAGGGGAGACCAGGTGAAGTGAGGATGACTCAGCCTGGATCTGGCTAGAAAAACAAGCTGGGTCCTGTGAAGAAATTGGTTCATATATAGCATCAAAGACCTGCCCACACTGTGTCACACATTTCTTTCCCCTTTTCTTGTTTCTGTCACCATCATCTCTTTGCCTAGACCAATCTGTATTTCAGATACACAGAAGTGGGATTTTAGATCTGGCAAGGGTCTTTTTGTCATCATGCCTGATTTTGTAGGCACCACAAATGGCTTAAGAACCTCAGGTTCTTAAACTCCATTCCTTGTAAATTGAAGATGAGTTTTGGCCAATAATTTAAGCAGGCAGATTACTTGTCAGATATAATCTGCCTGGTGTGGCTCTGTGTGGGAGGAAACCAATGAATGAGGTCTATTTATCTAAGAACTTCAATAAAACTGAAATCAATGCAATTCTACAAACCTTCACTTTATGTCTATTACAGAAAAAAAGCTTCTGAATTCTCCTCTGAGAGGAGCTGAAGATGAATAAGATATAAAGCCTGTCAATAGTGCTTCCATCAAAGAACATGACATGGAGAGCTTATCCTTCATTTCATTACTTATTAATATCAAAACTAAACCAAATTCTTGGCCGTACAGTCAATATTGACTCATGGAGACACATGTGTTTAGTACTCACAATGGGTTTGAGGTTATTTATACATAGTAACTTTCATCTTCTTAAAAATGTGGAGAGTAAGGCATCCCTCTAATTGTGAGGGACTAGTGAAGGCTGACGGATAAATTTGTAAAGCAGGAAGAGGAAGGCAGAAAGACGACTGACATTCCAAATATTGCGTTCTGTTTTACACAGGCCTGTATTCAAATTCCAGTTCTAACATTTATTAATGGAACGACCTTGGGAAAGCTGCTCTCAGCCTTGATTTCCTCATCTACAAATTGAACGAAATACCCTACTTCATAAGACAACTGGAATAAAGAAATGAGATCTTGTGCATAGAAGTTCAATCCCAGCAAATCCAGGCAAAAAATAACTAATTTTTGTAAGGAGTACTCATTCCCTAGATTTCTGTATGCTCACCTCCTCACCACATTCAGGTGCCTCCTGATATTGTATTCTCTGCTGCCCCCCCCCACACACACACCTCATAGCTCTCTCTACAGTGTAGGGTGTTGGGGATGAGGGAGGAGCGGGTGGCCCAACAAGCCTGTGTTCAGCTGTGCCTGTTGCTCACTGTGTCATCTCCCGCAAATCACTTAACTTTTGACACTCAGTTATCTCACACTTAATCATGGAAAATAGAATCCACACCTTAAAGCTTTGTGGTCAGGAGCACAGGTGAAGAAAAAGTCCTTTGGAAGGAAGCTCTATGCAAGTGAGTGCTGCACCAGGCATTCACACACGAGCCCCTGAGTTTGCAGTCCAGGGAACCGCTCCTGTCTCTACCCCTCTCCAAAGCCAAGCCGCTCGGGGCGCGAAGGAGGATTAACCCTTGAGCGCCTCTCTGGGCGGTTCTCCTGCGGGTCTGGGAGGAGTTCCGCCCCTTGGCTCACGCCCCGCCGCCTCCTTTCCCTCGCGCCTAAACAGGCGCTCTCAGAGTAGTCTCTCCCCTGAGCCCCGCTTGCGCTTTCCCAGCCCGGTACGTCACGGCCGCCCGGCCGCCAGGATGCAGGCCCCGCACAAAGAACACCTGTACAAGCTTCTGGTGATAGGCGACCTGGGAGTGGGTAAGACCAGCATCATCAAACGCTACGTACACCAGAACTTCTCCTCTCACTATCGGGCCACCATCGGCGTGGACTTCGCGCTCAAGGTGCTACACTGGGACCCAGAGACCGTGGTGCGCCTGCAGCTGTGGGACATCGCAGGTGAGCGCCCGGGAAGGGTGTGGAAGTGGCTCGCCTCCCTTCTCCAGTCTCTAGCACAGGGTTGCAGCCAAGCGTGCGACCCAGATCTCCTGGATGCTGTGTCCCAAAAGACTTTGCCAATAGGTTGGAAAGTTGGTTTCAAATGAAAGAAAAAGTTTTTCATTCTAGCTGAAACTGCTTTAGGTACATTCCCCGGCGCTTTGCGGGTATTGCTTTCACTCCCTCTGGCCTAGCATGCTGCCTGTCTGCCCGGCGTGGGCCTCACTAAGAACCCAGAGAGCGACTGGAGTTGCATTTATTTCTTCTCTGGCTCGTTTTCCGGGTGCCGGTAATCCTGCCGTGACGCGGCGCATAGTGTCATGCCTGTTCTTCCTTGCCCGGGCCAGTCAAGGGGAAGCACCTAGCCAGGTTAACAGCTGGAACAAAGAAGTTTGCCAATTCCCATTTTCATGCCTTTTTCAGTTTGCCACCCTTCCTTTCTGCTTTAGGTAAGCAGAGTTTTGGGTTCTTTGCTGTGAGGGGCTCTGGTAGTGCAGTGGTTAAAGCGTTCAACTGCTAACCAAAAGGTTAGCTGTTGGTAACCCACCAGCTGAGCGGGAAAAAGTTGAGGCAGTCTGCTACCATTAAGATTTACAGCCTTGGAAATACCAATAGAGCAGTTGTATTCTGTCCTTTAGGGTCTCTGTTTCAGAATCTACTTGATGGCAGTGGGTTTGATTTGGCTGTGAGGAAGCCATTGACCTTTCTGTGTAAAGATCAAGAGCAAAGTATTCTTTCTCTGTCTCTCGGGCTTTCCTGTAGACTACCAGAAAGAGGTCTCTTATGTATCTTAAGGCTACTTTTCTTAATTTATCTCTGAAGTTTACATTGCATGATCTGGAAAATGAGAAATTTCTTCACATTCTTTTAAATCAGAAGTGGATTCCAGAGGTTTGCACCAGAAGCTTTGAGTGCAGTGTCTGCTCCAAGCCTTGAGCTCTCTTACAACTGGTATTTGAAAGTTGGCCATGTCCAACCTCTCATTTCAGATCCTAGCTGGCTGTTCACTAACTTGCTCAGTGGCTTAGAACAAGTTCCTTCAGCTCAGTTCCATCCCTGTTAATGGAGGGAAGTTGGATGGTGATGGCCCAACAATCTTCCTGCTTAGAAAGTTTAGGATCATCTGGAATTCTTCGTGAGCCACTTCAAACAGTCCCACTTTGTCTATTACATGGCCCGTGGCACCAAGAAGTTTTATAAATCCTACACCCAAACTAGCTTCTTTCTCTGTTAGAAAATAGGTTCATGTGAGCTGGTGCATTTGACTGGAAATACTTTATCATGACTTGAAGCAAGAACAATTGTGGAAAATTTTTGAAAGGGCATTTCTGGTTCTGGGGACTCCAGTGCCTCTTTAATCATGAGCTGCCAGGTCTACTGATAAAGCTTTTGACTTGTGTACAGCTTCATGCATTTGACGTCATCTTCAGCAGCTCAGTAGCACAGAGGTTATCAGGTACTAGAGGATGTCATCATCCACTATCTGATTGGATTTTTCATTTAGAAAATCCACTATGAGGCTAGGTGCATAGTGGCTACATGTTCTTATGTCTCAAACAGGATGCTGGTTTAGAATTGGCTTACTGTTGAAAGTGGATGTAGCTGGAATTTGGATTTCTCTGTCAGATCTAATAACAATGTGACCTTGAACATTTTACAGAATGTCTATGAGTGTTGGTTTCTTCACCTGACACAAGAGATAGAAGGATATAGAGATTAAGAACCTAAATTCCGGAATGGAACACCTTCATCTGAATCCATGTTTTACCCTATATGAAATGAGAGATCTTTAGGCAAGTTCCCTAACTTCCTCATCTCAGTTTCCTTATACTACAAAGCGAAGAGAAAGCTTTTTCCCAATGAATGAGAGCTATCAACAAACACTAGCTTAGGAAAACTGCAAGTATTATTACATTACCTACTACTTTTTTTTTTTAAGCATATGTAAGTACTGAGCAAAAAGGACTTCATATATATTTTCTGGTTAAATCCTAATAAGTTATGGATCCTCAATATTCCATATATATTTCTATTCCAAACACCAAGTACCATTTTTAAGCTTCACCCATAATATAACATACACTCATGAACAATTTAACTTCTCAGCTTAGAAACACATCCTGAGTCATGATTCTGGCCTGAGGTTTGTGCCCATCGAGAATGTAGTCACAAAAGTTTGTGTAAATAAGAAATCTGAGGAGGGTTGGAACTCAGTTCTCTAGACACAGTGGTGTGAAGAATCCTAGTCAGGGAGCTTCTTTTTCCAGAGCTCTGAAAAAAGTGGTTATTTATCTTTTCAGCCTTAAGCCCAAAGACCCTGTGGCCTGGGTTAGGGGTTGGGCAGCAAGCAAAGTAGATTGGGGGAAGCAGGGCCACTGTGAGAAAGAATTGTTGGAACACAGCATTGACATGGTTCAAGGTGCATAGGTGGCCCTTTGGGGAGTAAGTTCATATGAAATCCAGCCTCAACTGTCAACTAGACCCCTGTGAGCTACGTGTACCTTAGACCACCTTCAAACCACAAACTGTCCATCTAAGGATAATAATGCAGCTCTCCCTCCTTTGTGTCCTACTCTGATGTGTGTCTGAAAAGAACAGGCAGTGATGGTTGGGTAGCCTAACTTTGAATGGGCCGGTATGGGGGAGGTAGAGGGAATCTTTCAATCACCTCCACTCTCCTGATAGAATATCAGAACTGCCTCCTATGAATGGAAACTTTGCTCAGCTTGGCTTTCTCCTTTCTTTTTTAAATTGTGAATAAGTATATTTGTAACAAAACATTTGCTATTTTAACATTCTTCACATGTACCAGTCAGTGACATTAATGGTGTTCATCATGTTGTGTAATCATCACCAATGACCGTTTCCAAATTTTTCCACCACCCTTAACAGAAGCTCAGTGTCCTCTAAGCAATGAGTCACCCTTTTCCCCTTCCTTCTGCTCACCCCTAGAAATCACTAATAAACTTAGGTATGTATACATTCCCTATTCTAGATATTTCACGTAAGTGGAATCCTGCAATATCTGTCCTTTTATGTATGGCTATTTCATTCAGCATAATATCATCAAGGATCATCTATGTAGAAGTGTGTATCAGAACTCCATTTCTTATTATAACCGAGTAATATTCCATTGTATGTATATACCGCATTTTGTTTATCTTTCATCTCTTGAGAGAAATTTACGTTGTTTCCATCTTTTGGTTATTGTTAGTACTATGGCGATAAACTCTTAACATTCCTTTGGTTCAATGCAAAGCAGGGCCTTACTTGTCCAAAGAATTCCCATAATGTATCTCTTGTAGCTACTAAGATTGCCAGTGTGATCCTGAAAGACTACAAAAAGTACTTATCAGAGGCCTGTGGAGCAGGCCTAGGAGCTCTGGTGGCACAATGCCTAAGGCATTTGACTGCTAACCAGAAGGCTGGCAGTTCAAACCCACTAGCTACTTCTCGGACGGAAGATTGGGCAATCTACTTCTGTAGAGATACTGCCTGGGAAACTCAAGGAGGAGTAGCAATGAGTTGGCAGTGAGTGAGTAAGAGCAGGCCATGAATCTTACAAACCCCACAGGAGAGAGCAGTTACCCTGGATCCTGAGAATTTTACCACTGAGAAGCAGTTGAATCTGTTCCATGTTCAGAAGCCCTTGATAAAGTCAGAGAAATAAAGCAACTTTGCCCAAGGCCACAAGCAGAAGAACTGGATTTGACTCAGTTCTGTCTGACTTGACATTTGACTACTAACCAGAAGGCTGGCAGTTCAAACCCACCAGCCACTCCTCGGAAGGAAGACTGGGCAATCTATTTCCATAGAGACACCACCTCGAAAAGCCAAAGAGGGGTTCCTATGAGTTGAAATTGACTTGAAGGCGGTGAGTTTAGGTTTTTTGGCAACTGCAGGCCTGTTGGTGCATGGCACACAGTCAGCCCACAGGTGAATAAACTTTTTCTTTTTAAAGGTGTTGCTTCTGTAGTAGGTGAGTTGTCTTTTACCTTCTAATTTATCTTTATTGGATGTTATTCTGTACAACTGTGTAGAGACAATGGAAGGAAATGGTATGAAAATCAATTTCTGAAAATTTGGTTCTTGGGTATTATATCAATTTACAGGGTTTTTTCTTTCTTTCTTTCTTTCTTTTTTCACTTCATAGATTTATCAGGAAGAAAATACCTGATATGTTTATACTTGAGACTCTCCTTCCATCATACCATCCAAAGTACTATAATTACTCTGTTAGCATTTTCAAAGAGAATGTACAGTTTTGAGCCTTTGGATTGTGCTGCAGGAATAGGTATAGTCCCAGTAATAGTGGCTAACAGTTTGTCTTACAACTATCCAGACACCTTTAACCTTTCATTTCCAATTAATATAGCTAGTAAAATTCAAGTGCTGGATTTTAAAAGTTGAATTCTAGAGCTTAGGTTTGTAGAAACCAGGAGGCTCTACTGCCTCCTTCAATTTAAAAATGAAATACTTCAGATGTTGCTTGACATTGAGAACTTGCTGGACCACATTTGTTCCATCTCTGAAATGGTTATTTTATTTTGGTCTGACATCACATGTAATCTCTGTCATCTCTAACACCTGTTACTCTCACAATGTTTGTGGTGTTGGTAGTATATGATGTTCATCCCAACTTCTTTCCTTGGTAGGTTTGTGACTTGCACAAAATACTTAATTGCTTTGCCTTGGTTTCCTGTCAGTGAAATGGAGATGAGAACAGAACCTGCACCTTAGAGTTGCTATAAGAATTATATGAGTTAATTCACTTAAAGTTGTGCCTGTACATAATAAATGCTGAATAAATATTAGCTATTTCTTTTATTGTTGTACTTGTGATTATTTTAACCCATGTTTGCTTGACCTTCTTGGCATTGCTGAGAGTGTAGATAGAGCAGATGGCGAGAGGTAAGGGACTTGCCCAAGGCCACAAAAGCTAACAAGTGGCTGAGAAGAAC